CTCCAGGTAGAAGTTATGTTAAAATTAACTTTTCTCACGTTAAGGCCCTTTGTGATCATTGGGACAAGATTAACAAAGTTATCTTACAGTATTTGATTTCTATGTTATTAGACTTTAATCCATGATCCATCACCTAGAGAAAAATTGCCTTACATAGACTTGTTATACCAAAGGTTACAAAAGCAATACTTTTAAAGTATAAAAATGTGTTTGGAGCAAGGAGGAAACTATTCCTGAGCCAGTTTTGGTAAAGGATACAACCCAGATGCACAACTTTCCTAATTTTCAAGCATGCAATTTAAAGTATGCTTTTGGTTGCATAAGTTCCATGTGAGAAGGTAAGTGTTTTTCAACTTTGAACAGCAACTCTATCCTTTTTTTTTTACAAATTGTTCTTGTCAAGTCACCAGTGTTTCCATTTTGTCTTATGCAGTGGTAATTGATTAATCCTTATCATATTGGACCTGTTAGCAACATCAGACACAGGTGATCATTCTTTCTCTGTTGAGACACTTTCTTCCCCTACTTCCAGGATGCCACAATCTTCTTGTTTTTATTTTACCTCACTGTTGGCTTTTTGCTTTCCTTTTATTTATTCCTCCAACCTTTTAACATGAACTGTCCTACCAATGTCTTGCAACCTCTCTTTTGTCTCCCTACTATTCTGTAGTTGATTCTGACTAAGAATCTGTCCTGTGTTTATGTATGTATGTCTATGCTCACCTCTTTCTTGAACTGGTGTCTTTTTTACACAAGTGACTTCTCATCTTTTTCCATTTGGATCACTAATATGTATTTCTAACTGAGCATCTCCAAAATTAAGCTGGTCTTTCTTTCTAGGCCTGTTCTTTCCAGTCTTTTCTGTTTAAATAAATGACAGCTTCATCCTTTCAATTGCTGAGGCCACAACCTTGGAGTCAGATTTGATGCCTCTCTTTCTCCCATGAGGATGTCTTTTTTCTTTCACTGCTGTATTTCTAGTACCAAGAACAGTGTCTAGTACATAATAGATTTCAATAAATAGGTATTGAAGGAATGATATGCATGTTCTAGTAAAAAGAGAGAGTGAACTGAAGTCTGATGCCCAAAGACATAGGCACTAGAGTCTGTTGGTTAACTTAGGATGCTCCTAGGAGGGCAGAGTCTCCTTTTTTTCTTACCCTCATCAGCTCCAGAGGGAGGTAGCTTTTGTAATGTCAGTGAAACAATTAGTTTGACGTAATGCAAATTAATGAATATCATATGCTACATTTTTTGGAATATCAACTCCAAAAAATGAAACGAAACTCCCTGCCATAAAGTCGATTCCAACTCATAGCACCCCCCATTGGGTTTCTGAGGCAGGAAATCTTTATGGAAGTAGATTGGCCAGTCTTCCTTCCACGGAGTGGCTGGTGGGTTTGATCTGCCAACGTTCAGGTTAGCAGCCAAATGCTTTTTCACACTCTACCACCAGAGCTCCTTAGAACATCAACTAGAGCATGGTAATTACTTCTTTACGATGAATATCTCAGTTTCATATCCTTGATTTTTGTTAGTGTCCCCTACTGACAGAGTAGATACTCAATAATAATTTTTCAATGAATGAGTATTTCTAATGTACATCTCAATCTCAGAATTCTGAAAACTATCCTCTAAAAGCTGCTTTTATCCCTGTATTTTCTTTTCCTGTCAATGGTACGCCCTCCTATCTAGTTGAACAACACAGCTGGGAAGGTGGGAGGCCTCTTTTATTTTGCTACATCCCCACATCTGTCCAACCATCAAATTCTGTTTTTCTTCTTTATATTTCATATATTGTTCAAACCTTCCTCATTGCTCATCCAAATTATTTCTAAAATATCTTCTTAACTTATACAGTTGAATCTACATTGCACAGCCTGACACAAAAGGTGGACTTCATCACCTTGCCAAGCTTCATCTCTGTTGTCTCTTTTCTCTGCTCTCCTTTTCCTGTCTCCACAAAATACCCATGAAATCTGAATTACCTGTAATTTAATGATGAAAGTGCATATATCTTTGATTGTGCTTATTCCTCTTTATCTGACATCACTGTCCACTTCTTAAACAGACCACCATCCTATTGATCTTTAGAGTTAGCACTGTTATTCTGCTATCCTTGTTCTCATTTACTGTCTCTTTCTTCTCATAATATCCTGAGCATATCTTTTGTACTACATTGTACATTATATTCTTATCATTGTGCCTATTAGTCTTTGTTTAGATAGGCAGCATATCCTATTTACTTTTGTAATTCCTGAGCTGTTCTCAGTTTTTAGGAATTGATTGATATGGTAGAGATGCCAAATTAGTACCATGCCTGCTGGTATACTGAGCTAGTGTGAAATCATGATACAGCACAAATCTATATGTCTCAATATATGTTTTAAAAACCTGGAAGAAGCTCTTTGGTTTTCACCTTGATTATAGAATTTTATTTGTAAAAAAACAATTATAGTAACTTATGATGCTAACAAATGTGTCCTGGAAGAAGTGCAATTCAAATGCTCCTTTGAAGTGAGAATGGCCGGACTTTGTCTCACCTACTTTGGTCACGTTGTCAGAAGGGACCATTCCCAAGAGAAGGATATCATGCTTGGTAAAGTGGAGACTCAGTGAAAAAGGAGATGGCCCTCAATGAGATGCATTGACACAGTGGTTGCGATGATGGGCTCAGGTATAGCAAGGATTGTGAGGCTGGCACAGGACTGGGCAATATTTCATTCTATTGTATACAAGGTTGCTATGAGTCAGAGGTGACTCAATTTCACCTAACAACAACATGGTGCGTGCTTGTATATATGCATAGATGTAAGTCTATGTTCTATAAATTAATCAAAGAGTGGTTGTTGGCCATGATAATGGTAAAGTACCTTTAGAATTGAGAAAGGATTTTACAGATTTAATGTAAATTCATTATTTTAATTTGAATTCATAATTTAAATCAATTTCTAGTTTTTATTCTTTGGACAGTTTAAGTATTTTGGGCATTTAAAATATTTAGAGTGTTTTTTGAATATAATTTGGAAAATTCTTTCCTTCTTTCTCCTCCATGCTATTATTAGCACTTGGCTGCTAACCAAAAGGTCAGCAGTTCAAACCCACCAGCTGCTTCATGGGAGAAAGATCTGGCAGTCTACTTCCATAAAGATTGCAGCCTTGGAACCCTATGGGGCAATTCTGCTCTGCCCTGTAGAGTCGTTATGAGGCAGAATCAACTCTACAGCAACAGGTTTAGTTAGGTTTTCTTATCTACAATTATTGGCTCCATTTAAGTGAAAATTGCTGCCAATTTTTGTTTTATATTTTTGCTGCTTTCTTTCAGTTGTTTAAATTATATCTTTCTAGAAATGAGGTGACCGAGACTGGTTTAGTTTCTCTGAATGCAGAGAGACATTCTTTATATGCTTTTTGAGATCTTTTAAAATTACTTGATATTGCTTAAAAAAAAAAAAAAAAGTTTGTGGGTACTGGATAATGACTGGCAAGGGAGTGGAAAGAAAGCTTTTTAAACTTGACTTTTTGACATGAACTGGTTACAGTTGAGTGAGCCTGTACTGAAAAGGTAGTTTTAAAGGCTTTTTTAAAAATTTTATCATTTTTTTTATTGTCTTATGTTTTCCTTTACCCTGTCTTTCTTCTGCACATTTTCCCACCTCTACTTAAACAATCTTAAGTTTTGGCAGTAGAGGCATGCTGGTCAGATTTTAGTGCTTAGTTATCAAATAAAGCAATTACTAAATATTTCAACCAGCAGGAACTGAGACCCCTGTTGATGTCTTAATCCAAAAGTGGCATTTTAAATTCATATGAACCCTGCCTTAAGGGATTGAGAAAGGACAATTTAGGAAACAGCATGAGGTTAAACATATTGATTAGTAGCCTGGTAGTTCTAGTTAGATTTTGGCAGAATGTAGACTTCGAAAAATAATGCTATCAATAACAAAAAAGAATACCATGCTTCTACAGTGAAAATTTACTTTTCTATTATGTGGATTTTAGATGATGAAAGAATTATTTCATCCAAGCATTTAAAACAAAAAAGGAGAGGTTGAAAGTTGGAGTTTTAAAACACTTACTGAAAAATTTGTGGTTTTTGAATTTTTATCATTCAAGCTATATACTAAAGGATTATTTAATTACATTATCTCTTTGTATGTTCTTAATAAGCATAATATACTGCAATAGAGAATGTTTGCCAAGATGTAAAACTATTACCTGGTAATTTAAGTTCTAGAAATGATCATTTTGATGTGTGGTATTCATAATACAGGTTTTAGTTATAAGAATTTCATTAACCAGGTTCAGGGCATTTGTTGATCTTGAGATCTTTTAAGGTTTTGGGTTTCTCTTGATGAATTGAAAATTATTTTATAGTTCTATATAGGTTTATAATCTTTTAGCTTGAATACATTCAAGTTCAATTATGTGTGCATGAGATATCATTATTGGCAAGAAGAACCTAACTTTTGGTTTTAGTGCCTTTTTTTTTTTTTTTTTTTCTTTTAAGGAAAGGTACCAATGGCCAATGTTTCTCCACTTCCCTTCCTACCCTAAGCCCCCATATACATGGAAAAGGAAAACTCCACTGAAATGTTATTTCTTCTATAATTTATAATTGACTAAGATATTTTACTTACAAATGATTGTTTTAATAGGCTCTACTGTGAGGCAAAGAGCACTAGGTGATGCAAATGGGCATGTGCTGTACCACTAACTGAAAGGTTGGTGGTTCAGAGCCACCTAGAGACATGCCTTGGATGTATGGCCTCATGATCTGCTTCTGAAAGGTCACAGCTTTGAAAACTCTATGGAGTGCAGCTCTACTTTGCATACATGGGTCACCATGAGTTGGAATCAACTCAACAGCAATTAACAACAACAGCACTGTGAGGGAAGATATTTGCAAATACTTGAAATAAACCTTGATGTTTTAGTTTTGTTATTCATTCTTTAATGTTGGAAACCAAGTCTGACTCTTGCAGTATAATCTGTTGTAGGTAGCTTGTATGCAGCTCATCAATGCCCTTGTTACATCTCCTGATGATTTAGACTTGAGGCTTCACATCAGAAATGAATTTATGCGTTGTGGATTGAAAGAGATATTTCCAGTAAGTGCCTGCAGTCTCCTTATTAATATTTAAATTTAAAGAGTATTTGAGTAGGGGGAAATTTAGATAAATTACTTTTAAGAATAATTTATGTGGGAAAACTCTTGAGTATAAAAATCTATTTTTGAAAAATAGATGATGGATTTGAGTATTATTTAACACTTTAAATGTTTGAATGCTATAAATCAAGTTGAATGGTTGCTATGTTCTTTAAAAGAATAAGTTTGCTTTATATGTTTTTCATTAATTCTTTTATATAATTAAAAACAAAATTGTTCATCATAATTTCTATTCAATATATTTAGATTTTAAAATGTATTAAGAATGATGGCCTGGATATTCAGCTTAAAGTCTTTGAGGAACATAAAGAAGAAGATTTGATTGAGTTCTCCCATCGTCTTGAAGATATCAGAGCTGAACTTGAATATCCTTTTATTCTGAAGTGTAGTTCAGTTTGTAAAATTATTGATAAAATCATATCAACTCACCTCTTCACCTAAAAAATTAAACTTCTGAAGCCGTTTCTATAGAAATAATATGAAATCAAACCTTTATGAATTAGATGAATGTTTGTGTAAACCTTTCTTTCTTTATCTAATGTGTATTTTTATGAATGGATACATGTAAGTGCACAAGTGGATTCTGTTAGACATATTCTTATATGTATATATGCAGTCTGTTGTTTTTCATTTTATGTTTGCTTTGCATCCCAGTGCTTTTCAGCATTAGGCATGGGTGGTCTCAGCTAGTGGTTAGCTCCTTTTCTGTGCCTTGGGTACATGCTTATGTGGACTTTATGTCAACTCTGTGGTTCTGCAGATGTTTATGTTCTTCTTAAAGTCCACTAAGTTCTTAACCTTCACTGGGTATTTTCCATGATAGATGAAGCCTGGCATCAACTCTCTTGGTCAAGGTAGTACTGGAACCCAATACAATATTCATAACCAGTTGGCCACTACCTCTTGGCTCAGGAGAGGCAGACTGCTTGGAATTTATTGTGGCAGGGAAGCTAGAAAGTGTTTGGTCAACTTGTCATTGTCATGGTTTGCCCTCATTTTCATCCTAAGTATGTGTGTTTTATCTCATGTTGAAAATAAAATGATAAAATGAACAAACAAAAAAGTAGCCGGTTGCTGTTGTGTCCAACTCATGGAGGCCCCATGCATTTGAGAGTAGAACTGTGCTCCATAGGGTTTTCAGTGGCTGTGATCTTTCAGAATTAGATCCTGAGGCCTTTCTTTCAGGGCACCTCTGGGAAAATTTGAACCTTCAAACTTTTGGTTAGGAGACAAGCATATTAGCCATTTACCTGACTTACCATGTTGAGTATACATGATGCCTATTTCAGAATTACAAACCAAAAAACCTGAACCTGTTGTCAGTGTGTTGATTCTGTCTCATAGAGACCCAATGGAATACTGTAGAACTGCCTCATAGAGTTTCCAAGGCAGTAATCTGCAGAAGCAGACTGCCACATTTTCCTTCCGCAAGAAGTGGCACAGTTAAGTGCTTAGCTGCTAACTGATTAATCCTTCCAAGCCTTATGGAACAGATTCTGTTTTTTTTTTTTTTTTTTTTACAGCTGCTCAGAGTAGAGTATAAATAAATGCATAAGAATAGAAATAAATGCACATATTCCTTAATCAACTTACTGAAGCATATGATGTTTACAACATGGTGTGGAATTCGGTTAAGGAAACTGGAGCAGAGGGATATTTTATTTCTATTCTTCAGCATCTTTTGCTGATTCGAAATGATTATTTTATAAGGTAAGAGAAAGCTATATTCTAATGTTTTCTTTCCCCAATAAAAATCTATTAATTGTAAAATTCGCTTGATGTTTGATTTGGGCAAGCAAATAGTTTTAAGACTTCTTTCTCTGTCATAATACTGATTCATAACATATCTTGTTTCCTCTGGGCATATATTTAGGTAAATGATGGTAAAGTGACATTGCTATTACTCTTTAAACTCCAGTGGATTCTTGGGTACAACCTATCAGCTGAGTGAAAATGGGAACTAGCAACAAATTACTAATTTATCATATGATTGATAATATTTTCTGGTTAGTGCTTAGGCAGTAGGAATGATGTTGATGCATTTCTTTTTTAAAATGACATGAAGGCTACTAAATATTTCTTTTATTAGTGTTTAAGCAGCTAGAAAATACCTAATAATGTAGTTGCATTTAATGCTGCTACTATCAGAAAAAGTAGACAAACAGCTTTTCAAGTTTGATTATGTTCTAAACATTTTAGTTTAATAGATTATTTATTTTTCTCTATGTACATCATATATAGCTGTATATGGATATTGGCACATAATTCCCTGGGTTGTTTGGAAAATGAAATATGGCAGTATGGGTAAACCTCCTAGCCAAATACCTGACACATGGTGTATGCTCAGTAAATGTCCTCTACATCCTCTTTCAACTTTCATTACTGTTTTATGAGGGAAGCTGAGATCTTTGAATTTTAAATCATTTTTTGTTACCACCAGTTTAGCTTTGCTGAAATTGCTTTCTCAAATACTGTGGGTACTATGTCTTTTCTTACTCTAATTTCAGGCAGTGGGACATGCTGTTGTTGTTATTTGCCATCGAGTCGGCCATGACTCCTAGCGACCCCTCCTTGGGTTTCTGAGGCAGTTATCACTACGGAAGTAGGATTGCCCAACCTTCCTTCCAAGGAGTGGCTGGTGGGTTTGAACCGCCAGCCTCCTGGTTAGCAGTCAAGTGCCTTAGGCACTATGCTACATAGCTTATTTGGGCTGTGTCTTCTGAGTGCTGTCAGGGGTATAACTTGGTGGCCCTTTGCTCTGCCTAACAATGTAGCAGAAAGAGGGTCAAAAAAGTTAAAACTTAGGTTCTTAGAGTACAGGCCATCTATCTAATCTCCTCCACTTGCAGGCAGAAGTTTTATTAGTATTCTGAAATGTAAGAGTTTAATAATCTCTATAGTGTTTAATTTGTTCTTTCTGGATATTTTATTAAAAAAAATAGAACAGTTTGAATATTGAACTACTATGTAAAAGTTAAAAATACTAACAAATTCATTGAAGATACTTAAAAAGCCAAGTACTCTGCTAATTAAAACTCTATAAATCTACCCCACACTTATTAAAAATGAAATTGAAGCTTTAATCTATTCTAAAATAACCCCATCCATTTCCTGATCTGTGTATGTTTGCTCCTGTCAACCTAATGCTGTTTGAGTTCCCAAGAACTCAACACTGATGTTTGGCTTCAAAGGTTCGAATGAGTATTTACTGCTACAGTGGTTGTATCTCATAACCTAATCCTTTTGTGCTCCAAGAGGGTGTGTGATTGTGTCTAACTTCAGAACTGAATAAAAAGCACAACAGTCCTGGGGCATGCTCAGGAGATCCTGCCACTTAAAATTAGTGGAATCAGGAGTCTCAGGGAAATATTAATTTGTGGCATTACCAAATTATCATTAGTAAGACATAGAGGTTTAGCTACTTTTTCATCCTTTGGATATCAACTATTAAATTTGGTGTTCACCCTTGTTACTTTCCTCCTTAAGGAGCTCTGGTAGCATAGTGTCTATGGCATTTGACTGCTAATGAAAAGGTTGGTGGTTCAAACCCACCAGCCACTCCATGGAAGGAAGACTGGGCAATCTACTTCTGGAAAGATTTACTGCCTCGAAAACCCAGTTTGCTATGAATTGGAATTCACTCAATGGCAGTGAGTTTGGTTTTTTTTGAGACTTTCCTCCTTAGATCTTGCCAAAGGGGCAATGAGGCCGCATCTTCTGACCTCCTCTAACCCCACAAGAGGAAGACAGAATCACCATCAGTAGCCCAAAGCCTATCCTTGTGAGGCCAGACATGCTGCCTCCCTACAGCCCTGATACCGACTGTTCCCCTCACAGCACCCACCACTTCTCTACTGGGTTCAATAGTTCACTGCAGTGGCCACAGAGAACTCACAGATTATGGGGTTTTTTAGGGAAGCAATAGACTACAATTGAAGTTCAGGAATACGCCCAGTCTCCGACCACTGTCTCTCAGCCGACGGTCTTTCTCAGTCTCTCTCCCAGCAGTGCGCGTCTCTCAGTGTCTCTGTCTCAGCAGCACATGTCTCTCAGGAGCGTGTTTTTCCCAGCAGCATGTCTTTCTCAACTAGCAGGCAGAGAGACTCTTTTTGCCTCTAAGAGACCTCCTTTTGAGGCCCGCCAGAGTGGCGAAACTAACCAATCATAACATCAAAATTCTAAACACCTGAGAGAGAGTGAACTTCCCAGAAAATTATTTTGTGCTGCTTCCAACAGAAATACTCCAGGAGGATAACTAACAGTCAGGAGCTACTTGGTTGCTCATGACCAATTCCACCACAGAGTTTACAAAGACTTATAGCTAGAAAAGCCATACCAGGTAATTTACTACACTGCAGATATTAAAGTCCCAGACCTTGCTCTTTGTTCAAGACATGGTTACTATGAAGGCAGAGTTCTTCCTATAACTGCTGTAGTCAAGAAAATTCCATCTGTTTTTCCCATGTTCCAAAACTTTCATAATATATATAATTGTTGCTGTTGTTATTTTTGAAATTATACTTTTATTATGAGATTGTTTCAGAATTATGATAATTTACATAATATTTTGTTGTGCATTTATTTTTAAAAAAGTTCTACTGATTTTTAAAAACTCACATACTCTAAATTTCACTTTTTTATGTACAGTTCTATGAATATTGTGCTTTTGGTTTTTGCCTTTGTATTTTAGTTTTATCTATCAGGTGGAAACCTTATGAATAGCAAAGAAACACTGTTTGGTACATTACCACGCACCTGTAGGAATAGTCCATTTAGGCTAAAAGGCTCTCAAAATAGGACTGGGAAAGAGCTGCAACATCTGCGTAAACCCAGCCTTACTCAT